GTGTCAGAGCTCAGTGTCAAGCCTGCCAAGGCCGTCACCTCTTGGCTGACAGATCAGATCGCCCCAGCCTACTGGAAACCCAACTCCCTCATCTTGGTGAGTGACACTCAGCCCCACCCTCTGCCACCCGCCACCAACAGCCAAGTCAACACTTTAGTGTCCAGGGGGATGTTTACTGTCTGGTGTTCTGTGCCTATTACACATGTCTATGTTTGCAGGTCACAAGATAAAACTTGGATGGACTCGGATTGCATCCTCCTCCCTCTAGCTCTTGGTCAATAACAGTGTCTGTTGTTATTTTTCTCCTGTGTAAGGTGTGCCATAAGTGTCATGCAGTCTTCCAGGACAACGACACCAAGCATCACTGCCGTGCCTGTGGGGAGGGTTTCTGCGATGGCTGCTCTTCCAAAGCTGCACCCGTCCCTGAGAGAGGCTGGGGTCTTGGCCCTGTCAGAGTCTGTGACGTCTGCTTCGAGCAGAGAGCCACATATGCAGGTACACACTCCCTCAATAATGTCAAATGTCCCCTGTTTTTCGTCATCTGTGTGTTATGAAGCCATTGATGTTGGGTGTTTTGTGACTTGAGCAAAGATATTTTCTTTGTACAGAGCTGCTTGAAGCAGAGCTTGAAGAGGAAGAAGGTGGAACCCTGGCCAGGAAGGTTGGAGAGGCAGTCACCAACACCATAGGGGTTGTGGTGACTGCTATTGACATCCCACTTGGTGAGTGCTGCCCAAAACAAACCTAAAGAGGAATGTTATGTAACCAGGGTAAATGACCCAGTAAATGTGAGTGTATGGATACAATGCCCTCTGGTGGCAGAGGTGTATCATATTTATGTACAGCAAGAAAGAGAAGCAATGAGGTCTTGTTTCTAGTTTGAGCTCTCCAAGATGTTATGCAGGAGCCGGCAAAGCCCTCCTTATAAGGAATATGGGATGAGCTAATAACCTAGTTGTAACAGAACCTGTCCATTACCAAAAAGTTCACAGGTCTCTTTTAACTCATTGTAAAACATGCAAATGTCACAGATCAAAGAAACAATTGATATGACTAATGTGTTGAAAAAATACTCTCAGACAAATGACATTGAAATAATCAGGTTTTGTCTGTTTCATTAAGCAGGGGTTCAAATGCAAAATTTGCATTTGCCTTTAATGTGTTATTCTTGCCAGCTAAATGTTTACAGGCCATTTCCATTTCATTTTATGAGGCTTCCAGCTATAAATTACCTTTGCTATTTATCTTGCAGTTGCTTACATGACAGATCTCAGTGACTGCTCAGTATTGCTCACTTCCATACTCTGCACTTACATCGTGACTGCACCTTGGTCCTGTGTTTATGAAAATAACATTTTTATAACAACTAATATGAGAAGCTTCTGTAAAGAAGATCCAAAAACAATTACTACTAAAGTACATTGATCAATATGTTTTTGATAACCTGATATCCTGCTGAAAACTTCTCCATACCCAACACCATCCCAAAAATACCCCAGAGCAAGGTCTGCTCCAATCACAACAAAATTAGCCTTCTTATTTACAAATCCAAATCTTGTTTTTGTGTTTCCATGGTAACTGGATCCAAGACAGCTAAGGATTTCATTTTACCTGGAGTTTCAGTGCATTTCAGACAGTAGTGAGGAGTAGGCAGCATGAATAAAGCTAAAATAAAGCATTGATAACTGAGATTTGAAAGTGTTTTAATATCAACAGTAGAGGCAGAAGTTATATAATACTTGACTGATACAAGTAAAATATTTTAAATACTGTGTGAATACAAATGAATGGAGGTACTGCAGAGTAAAACTAAGTGTAATGGAAGTGGCACATCAAGTGTATGCACCTCTAAATTAAAGGAATAGTTCGGCATCTTGAGAAATACGAGTTTTACAGAGGTTTATGTCGTTGCCAGGCGACCGGCGGAGACTCCAGGAATGAAACAGATTTAAACATGACATGACATTTAGATATGACATGCTAATTAGTGAGCTTTGTAGGCACTAGTACGCAGGATGTATTACCTTTGGACAGAGCCAGGCTAGCTGTTTCCCGCTGTTTCCAGTCTCAATGCTAAGCTAAGCTAACAGACGTAACTGTGATATTGATTTTTTTGTCCACACTATAAAGTTTAAAGTGGCTAAGTGACTTAAATGACTACAGTGTGTGTAGTAAATGTAAAACACAAACTGTTACCTTACACCACAAACAATAAGTGTTTATTTGTGTTGTGTTCCCTGTAGGCCTAGTGAAAGATGCAGCCCGTCCTGCCTACTGGGTGCCTGACCAGGACATCCTGTCCTGCCACAACTGCCAGCGCGAGTTCACTGCCAAACTGTCCAAGCATCACTGCCGTGCCTGTGGCCAAGGAGTGTGTGACGACTGCTCCCCAGAGCGTCGCCCGGTTCCTTCACGGGGCTGGGACCACCCCGTGCGCGTGTGCACCAGCTGCAACCAGAAACCTGGAGAACTTTAACAGGGACGGCCTTCCTTCCTCAGAGCACCGGAGAGAACCACTCACTCACTCAGCTCGCAGTCTGTCACTGCTTTACCTCCGTTACTCCAATGGTTCTGTCTTGTATCTGTGGCAAGGAAGTTTTTAGGCATATATATATATATAGGACATTTAGCAGATTTGGGATTTCTGAGTTCCTGTGGCCTTTGTAGAACAGCCAGAACATGTTAGTTACTTGACTGAGTGTGAAACCTGCATTTCCACTCTGATTATTCACAGAGTGAATATTTTGATTCTTATCGACACAAATCCCTGATTTTACGTTAAATAAGGCTGTTCAGCTATTTTTCTACTATCAGAAAATATTAAAAAAAACATTTAAAGAATATTAGATAGTTGAGAACCCCATGCGGTTGGTGTGATTAGTGTCCAGCAATTCTTATTATTGAGCATTGTTTTTCTGATGTAGTACGTGTAATCGCAAGGGGATATTTTACATCCGTGCAGGTATAACTGCAGGCTCCATTGCATGCTGTATTGCAACATTTTAGTTTTTGCACTAAGCCTTTTTCAGCTGTTATAGGCTGTTGCTTACGATGGCCAAAACCCAGATATCCAGTCTGTCCCAGACTGAGCTGAAATCTAGGGTTCTAGAGTGTGGATATCTGGTGTGCCAAAAATCATTCAGGTCACTGTATATCTGTGCTGGTATAATGTTTATATTTTATCATGTACTTTGTGGTTGTATGAAGACATAGAACTATGTTAGAGGAGTGTACATTTGAAATGTTGAAAATTATTTATGTATTGAAGAAAAAAAAAAAATTACTTATTAGCACTCTGGCATGCATGACAGTCTGAGCGATCCATGGCCTTTTACTTGTTCAGAGGACAGTCTCTGAATAAACCTCACTATTTCTTTTACCAAGCGTGTATACATGCTATGAAATGTAGGTATTTAATGTTCAAATTTGTTTTCTTGACACCTTGATTTTAATTGTTTTTTAAATATTTACAGTTGATGTTTGCTAGGGTGTATGGATATTGTTCTGCAGAACTGAGTAATATCCACATTTGTCTTCAAACCAGTTTTACATGTTACATTCACGCCTCCAAGTCTGACAGGATAAGAACTCCTTGTTCAGCTCATCACAGCTAGTTTGTCCGTTATTTTACATCTGTTATTGAAAGATATTGTATATTTTATTTTTCTGTTTTGTTTGACATTAGTTACTATGTAGATATTTATGTACTTTGTAGTGACCGTATCTGAACCACCCTTTCTCGCCATAGTTTTTTTTTTTTGTCTTTCAGCATTACACAGAAAAACAGATGCTCAAATGTGGCAATGATGAGATATTGAACCATATTTAGTGACTGAGAGCTTTAACTTGTCTTGCATCATTACTTTTTTGTTATTGAGTAATGAGACTGTTACGTGTGGATATCATACAAAGCACAAGGTGATGCCTTTAACACATATGCTTGTATTTTATTGTTAAAAATGAGAAAAAAAGGGTCTGTCGATTGTAAGCTTTGTAGATAAAGTTAATTCTCCCTTTGCTCCTTACGTGGAACTTTTTGGTTCTGATGTCTGATGAGAAGATGTTGTGTCTGCCTTGTCTCAAAATAGATTTATCTGTCTGAATGTTGCATCACACACACCCTCCTCTGAGATTCTAATATTGCACAGGATAGAATAGGAAATACATCATGTCAGATCACTTGTACTGGACTTCATTCCCATGCAAATGTGTGCAGTCTGTTGCTTCAGATATCCTTTGTGGTGTCCAGTCTTCGACTAGGTTGGGTGCTACTATGAACACTCACCTACACACTACAAATCAAGCAGGAATGATCAATGCATTTTAAAATGTTGGAAACTAACTTGAAACAGTGATGTGTGTGGACACTTGCTGAATTGGTGGAAGATTTGCATATGATTAAAGTTGTATCAGCTCCCGTCTGTCAAAACATAATCTGAAATTGCCTCCATGTCTTTAGTGTGTGTGTGTGTGTGTGTGTGTGTGTGTGTTTGTGTTTTAAATCTCCCTGTGTCATACCACTTACTGTACTGTATGTGGGAGGAATAGATCGTGTGCACGCCTGTGCATTATGAGCTCTGCTTCCTCTCCTCTCCAACACTTCAGCCCCGGATAAAGTGAGGGAAAATTATTTGCTTGGTGCTTATTGATGATGATAAATGATTTATAATTATTTTAATAAATAATTAAACACAAGCTTCCATGTTGATATTCTGTGCCACTTGCACTGCATTGACTTGCCAAAGAGGGAATTGCTCTTGATATGTATCCAAGCTACAGTAAGGGTCTCTTTAAAAGTGCTGTAATTCAGTTGTGTACAATTTAAATACAAGGGAAAACCCTTTAAAATAATTTTGACAGTTTACCCCATTAAGCCACGCCCCGTCCGCCTATGCTGCAGATGTATTGGTCCACGAATTCACCCCGAGCTCTGATTGGTCAATTTCCGTAGGTTTCCCTCAGAACTGCAAGACGCCGATATTGCGTTACATTGTAGCAAAATGGCGGCTGTCATTCAGAATCCACTAAAAGCGTAAGTAATTTAGACATTGAGGAAATTGTGAATAATTACTTTGTTGCCAACTCGTACATTAAAACTGGCTGTTCGTGCATGTCATTTCCTGTCGTGTGCATATGACAGATTAAGCTGTCCAAATCTATTTTGTGTACTTCTTGCATGGCAAAGTAGCCTCGTATAGTTCTTTTATTCCACAAGATTTTAACATTTAGTCTTAAACATGTGCGTAAGGCTGCCTGACATTTTGACTGAACCGGAGGAGCTTTTCCTCCGTGTGGGTTTGCATTCAACACAGGAGAGTGTCGTCTTTCCTGGGCTATAAATTTATTTGAAAACTGTCGACAACGTGCCTTTGCGCCCCACCGAATAATTAAAAGCCGATTTTCTTCGTGCTCGGTTGGGCATAGCGGCGGAATATCATCTGACATTCCGAAAGTCGTTTATAGTTGGTGTGAATTGTCGACATGTCAACTTTGGCTCCTCCGAGCGCAGACGTGGTCAGGACCCGGTAAAGCAAGGGAGGAGGCATTTTGTATTTGCATGCTTTGCTGGCGAAATCGACAAAAGTGACAGCAAATTTGAGTCCGCGATTGGAAATAGACTGTCACCCTGTGCTCAGATAGCTTGTGCAATAGTCATTTCTGTCCCTCAACTTCAAAGAAATGCTCCACCTTTTTCTCCATTTCTCCTTTGTTCTTCTGTATTGTTTCACCCAATTCCATTGGTAGACATATTACTGTAAGTTAGATACAATTAGCCTCCTGTTTTCTTGTCATTTCATATAAGAACTAGATCATAATGTTGCATGTCTTAAAATGCTTACATTCAGTTGGACGTGACAGCAGCAGTCAGCCTGTATTGATGGGTTGTAATGATCATCATGGCTCTTTGGGACTGTGGAAGGTAGAGCAGGCACTCCACTGTGCCTTTAAGTGGAGGAGTGCTGGAGATTAGCTTGGTCCAGGATCCTGGGCCCATCTGTCAGAGAGATGCTCCGACAGAGAGGAAGTGTTGGGCACAAGCAGGAGAACCATCTGCTCCTCCATAGAGGTACCCTGGCACCTCCATGGACTGTAGCACAAGGAGTGGACCACACATCACCTTGCACATCACCCACTGGTGGTGTTACTCCACCTGAGAGTGATGTTTTTGATACCTGATTGTGCTTTTTTTTTTCTTCCATAGCACATTGACCTTTTTCTGCTAAGGATCAGATAATATACAGGCCCCAGTACTTGCTTTCCTTCTGTGATATTTGAGGGGCTACAAATGACTGAACAGTCACAGAGGCTGTGTAACCTGTCAAAGTGGCCTTTGGCAAGACAACCCCCCACCTGCACCCTCATTGCATGATGCTCTGGAAAACACTGTTAGCTAAATGCAAAATTTCCCCTGAATCTGTATTTATACATGAGTCGACTGAGCATGCTTGCACTTGTCCTGCAGTGCCCTCCTTCACAGTTTTGCCCACCAGGGAATGGCCCGATACAATCACAGCTTCCCTCTGCTGGCATCTGAACAGCTCAGTGAAACAGCTGATGTTAAAGTGTTGGATGTAAATGTTAAAAAGATATATATTTATGTGTAGTTCCTTCCGCTCTCTATTAGTATGGGAAAGTGCATTTTATTATTGTATTGTTGGACTGTATCCCTCTCATGTGTCCCAACACGCTTCAGCATGCGTCTGCTGTCAAGCTGCTGTTTCATCTGAGAAACGTTTTAGCATTCAGATGTGGAATGTCTCCTTGCTATAAGCTGTGCTTAATGAAGTGTTTCAATCTGCTATAATTAGCCTCTGTCTCGGGTTTCTGACTTCATTTCACAAGTTTGTCAGATTATAATTAGTCACACTTGACACTAATTGGATGTCGCTCCTGTGGACCAGTTTGACCTTTTTTCTTTTTTTTTGTATTTCTCTTTACAAAAAAAAAGATGATTCACTTTAGGGAAATGAAACTCTGGTTTGACTTTGTTGTGGAGATGTGGTGGCGCATGAAGCTGCAGTGTGCGAGCCTGTGCACGTCTGTGTGAGGTCCGTCCCACGTTTGAGTTTGGGAGGACAGTAATCTCCAGAATCTGCTGATTAAAATGGAGTCTGGAATATTTGATTAATAAAGAAGCTCATAAAGCTGCTCATATAAAATTTTATTTACAGCTGGAGTTTTCTTTCTTTGCTTCCCCAATCCATCTGCTGCCTTGTCATTGGTGTTGAGTAGACTTTGGGAGAGTCAGGCCTGCTGTTTATTGGCACTTCAGTGTGTGGAGGTGTATGATCTGGTTTTACTCCTGCCCTCACCCAGACGCTCTTGTTCTGATTGGTGTAATCAGAGGTTGCTGTCAGGATGCAGTCACTCTGTACACCCTCCTCCTCCTCCCCCTCTCTTGTTATGTGGTAGCTGTAGCTTCCTGTGAAGCAGCAGTGCACCTGCAAAGTTATGTTTCTAGATCATCATTTTATGCTTTTTTCTTTGTTTTTGTTTTACATAACTCACATCTATTAAGTGCTGTGCTGTGTTAAAGTAAACACAGGAGTTTTGTCGTGGCTCCAGCTCACTTGGCCTCTGAGCTGCTCTCCTGCAAACTAAAGTTTGTCATTAGATATGCAAAACGAGTGTTGACACATGCTCACATTACGGACGCAGCCATGTGACGCAGCGAACCGTTGACAGGAACACGCTGATAGCGGAGGCCCCACTGGCCACAAGATTTGCTTTTGTTCCTCGCCCTCATGCACACACTCACCTTCTCTACTCAACTGGAAGATATTGAGGATGTGTAGCACATACCTCTGAGGCACCTTTTTTTAAGCCCTGAACTTTTTAAGTTCACGTTAAGCCCCTTGGGTTTTGTCACCATTAGGCAGAGCTAAGACTTAAAAGGATAATTCTGGTTTACTACAACCTATGTCTTTATTTTTTTGTGTGTGTTGGCTATTATTTCTGTCAGCTTTGATAAAACTGGATTCAGAGACTAATTACTAAGAATCAGGACTTGGGGAAATTGCTATAGGAAGTCCAGCTGTGTTAGAGACAACAGTCAAGACAGGTTGTTAACAAAGATAAATCTTGATCCGATTTAAGAGGAAAGCAGGGGGAAAAGAGATATGTTTCAGCTAAACAATCTTCTACTGATTTTTGTTTTTAGTCCTGCCTACACACTACCTGACTATTTCACTTCTTGTGACTTGATAGATAAGATGTTGGTGATGGCACCTCACAAGCAGAGATTGTTTCCTTTTAAAGGGGATCAGTAGCGATAAGTGTTGAACCACTGACCTAAACTACTGTATTTATAGATGAAACTGAAAGTGAATGTGGTCAAAGTGTTGGTAATAGGCCTTCATTTTACAGGAAAACTGTGTGCACACAACTAATGCAAGTACGGTAAGTCATAGTTGAACCAGGAAGCTAGTCTGTAAACTGTGATGGATGTTGAAAACAGAAAGTTTGAGAGATAAATTTACTACGTGCCATTGAGTTCTTTCCCAAATAAGTTCATAAGTCATGCCAGACTGCTTTTTGTGTGTGTGCTTTGCCCCATCTGACTTCTGTTTAGTGGTGTTGCTCAGTTTCCAAATCTCAGTTATTAATGTGGTGAGTTCAATGTTGTCACACTTGACAGGAATAGTGGCCAAAACTATAGAATTAACACCCAAGTTGTAATAATAAACTGGAGTTATTCTCAAACCACTTCCATTTCAAAGGGTGGTGGAAAAACAAAAGCACACACCTCAGACCAGAGAAGAGGAGAGAAGTCGTGACTACTGACATAGAGGTGGTGTGTGTGTGTGTGTGTGTGTGTGTGTGTGTGTGTGTGTGTGTGTGTGAGTGTGTGTGTGTGTGTGTGCGCGCGTGTGCGTGTGCATGCGTGTGTGTGTGCGCGTGCACGTGTCTGTCTCCTGTGTGGCTGGACGTGCGGGTCTTGTCACTCATTACAAGTGTCAGAAAGATCTCTCACCTAAGCCGGCGCACCTGCTGCTCGTGGCGCCGGGTGCTCTGATGGAGAGCATGTCGTCGCACAGACATCCAGCACCCACCAGAAGACTTTCACCACTTATTTGCTCTCTCTCACTCCCCACCCTCATTCTCCCTCCCCGAAACCCTGCACATTTCAACTTCAGACTGATGAGCGTCTTCTCTCGGTTTGTTCGACTCGAGTAGTCTCAGGAGTTTCTTGGCACTACACAGTGAGTGTGCGCTCGTAGCGGGCTTCGGGGAGCATTTACAACTGGTCAGCTGGTCTGCATTTAGTAAACTGATATGTCACAGTGCGTCCCAGCAGAACTGTGTGTTGATATCAAGGAATGGCAGTGGGGCAAACAGGTTAGTTTCGTTTACTGTCGGAAACAAAACACCTACATGTGTGGTATAGATCTGAGGAATGCATTTTATACATTTTATGACACAGCTGTGTGTAATTATTTTTTATGAGCCAAATATTCATTTTGAAAGGAAATCTTTCTACTGTTGAAGGTGTTAAATCTGTTTAGGGTATATCCCTGTGTAGACTGTGTAAAAATTCCTGTGTCTTAAAACCTGTGAAAGTGTTGGGACATCTGAGAAACCGGTGTTCTCTGTGGCTTTGTAACACTGTACAACATCTTTACAAGGCAGAGCCTAGTAGTGACATGGTTATTAGCTACAATGAAGCCACTATGTTGGTATGATTGTAACACGCTGAAGGAAAAACAAAGCCCCATAGCCCCAAGTCATGATCTGCTTGATAACTTTGAACCTCTGTTCCAACCTTCTTGCCTTTTTGAACCCCCTGTCTTGTTTTTATTTTCCCCCCCATCTTTCTCTTTCAAACACCTTTCCACCCCTCCCTGCGCTCACTCTGTACCTGTGACTGTTTACTCTTCTCAGTCACACTGACACGAAGCCTCCCTTTCCCAGAAGCCTCACACACTGTGGCTTTGTCTGAACCGCAGAGCCGTGGGCTTTGTGCGGGACAGCATTTCTAACACGGCTGTTCATCTGCTGGACGTCGTCTTGTGGAGGGGTAGAGAGAGAGAGAGAGAAAGAGAAAGAGAGTGGTGAGCAGGATCTGGAAGACGCTGACAAATCGGCCTCCCACCTCCTCCACCTCTAGTTTAAGATTCCAGGCTCGACTCACAGCCCGCAGCTCATTAGTTTCACTTCAAAATGGCCGTCTTTCTAATGTTGTAATTGAGAACACGTGTAGGAACTTCATTATGCGGATGTGGAGATGTTCATACTAGAAGAACCGATGGCTACAGTGTTATTTGCCCTGTTGGCCCTGTGATATAACATCACACTGTTGAAATCACACACAAAGTACCTTGCTATGATTTCAGAGTTGCTGCATTTACCCCCACCCCCCCCCCCCCCCACCCATCTTTGATATAGTGAAATTAGAACCTGCTCTTGTGCTAGACGTTCTGCAGAGATTAATTAAGTAGGCTAATTACCATACCAGGCGTGTGGCAGCGATTGAGGGCTTGAATGTGAAATATCCTCCCCCATTTCACTCTGAATATTAACTCTGAAACCCTGAGGGACTGCCAAAATCTCAGTGGCGCTAAGAAAAGTGGAACTAAAGTGCGAGAGTCTTCGCTAGCTGGTCAGAGGAGTGACTTCATATCAGACCGCAGATTCAGTGTTGCTGTGATAATCTGACTCAGTCAACACCAGTGTAGCTCACAGCCTATCTGGAATCAGATCAGACAAAGAGCCCACAGAGGTAATAACATGTTTAACCTCGGGAGTGGGAGCACCAGAGTTGTTGCACTGTTGTAACTGTGTTGCTTTGTTTTGTTTTTCCTTCAACAAATTCACAACAAATTCTCCCCAATGGCAAGCTAGAGAGAGGATAGAGAGCCTTAGCTGTCAGTTTGATACTTGCATTGAACAGGGCTGATTAAAAGTTTGATGCATTACTCATGTTGAGGATAATTTTCAGTGTACCTTTGTATAATTGCTCTTCTTTTAAAGAAGCAGCTGTTACTTCCTTCCTTATGTTGTATTGATCTGCTTTCCATCATCTTGCAGCAGCCTCAGCTTAAATGATTTAATGATCTGTGGCCAGTAAAGCAATGGGCCACTATCACAGCATTCATACAAACTAAAAAAGGCTAATCCGCATATCAGAGATTCTGCAAATAGTCACACTAGTCATTGGCAACATGTCTGTTCTTGCCCAGCTCTTCAAACCAGCTGCCACGTCAGTGACTGAACAGGTGTCGACCACATCACTCAATGTCACTGACCTCTGCCGCTAATGTTACCCCCCGCAGGTTGGGCGACCAATTCTACAAGGAGGCTATTGAGCAGTGCCGCAGCTACAATGCTCGCCTGTGTGCCGAACGCAGCGTCCGCCTGCCATTCCTGGACTCACAAACCGGCGTGGCCCAGAACAACTGCTACATCTGGATGGAACGGCACCACCGTAGCCCCGGTGGGCAAACACACGCACACACACATACACACACACACACACACATAAACACACTCGCACGCATACAAAGAATATTAAGTGAGAGTTAAGTGTTTTTGGTGCATTGAGCTTGTAAAAATGGTGTCTGCGTCTACACTATCTAAAGCAATTAACTAGAATTGCAAATAATGATTATTTTCATTATTAATTAATCTGTTATTGCAATTGAGGTGACTTCTTCAGACTTTTTATTTTGTTCAATTATTGTCCAATCCCAAAAGATTTTCACTTTAGATGATATTAAACAGGGCTGAGACAACTGGTAGATCGACAGATTTTTTTTTTTTAAGTCAACTGCAGTAACATTTCATAAGTAGCAAAACTATAGATGATCTTGGGTAGTCGTCTGGAATGACTAACTTTTATTCAATGGTGTAGGTCTGGTGGGTGGTTGGGAGGGCGGGGGGGGGGGCGGGCGGCGACACTTGGTATGAGATTGGTTACAGTGTTGTGTTTGTATTTGTATTTTTGTACACTGAAAATACTTAAGAAATAAACTTTGATAATTTTTTTATTAATGTGTTTTTCAAAAACTGAAAAGTGTTGGCATGTGTATTGCTGTTATTATACAGGGGTTTCAGCCGGGCAGATGTACACTTACCCCGCCCGCTGCTGGAGAAAGAAAAGACGGCTGCACAACACCACAGATCCCCGCCTGGGCATCTACGGCCTGCAGCTCGGTAAGACCCTGCAGCCCCTTCTCCTTAAGCCACCTGCCTGTCGCTTCCTGCTCCTCTCAGTTTCTCCTCCCGCTCAGCCATCTCTCCCTCCATCTCCCACCCACCTCCTTTAGCTCATGTGATTACTGGTGATGATCTGGAATAATCTCACTAAAAGCATATCACTCTGTCTCCGCGCGCTGAGCAGAACAGGCTGCCAGTCATTTTTCAGAGGATGAAATGTGGCTGTGTTCACCCCGGCTGGTAAACTTGTTTTGTGAGAAGTAGAACATGTAATTAGATTTACCACTGCTGGGAGCAGCGAGACAGAGTTCGGCCACTGCAGACAGTATTTAATAAATGTTATTGAATGGAGTTTGGCCTTCTTGGGCTGCCACTTGAAACAGCTCACTCAAAACATTTAACCTCTCCTCTATATTCTCCCTGTATCTTATTTTCTACTTACCACCTCCCTTGCCGATTGGTTTGGTCTCTTTCTCTGTGGCAACTCTTTCATCTCTCCCTATAAATTGCCGTGTCGTCTGTGTGTGTGTTTTGTGGCCAATGTTCCTGAGCTCAAGTAACTGGTCCATTCTGTGCCCAGGGCTTGCACATACCCACTGGGATGTTACACTATCCTGAGGAATGAACACGACAAAAGGGAGAATGTCACACAGAAATATTATTTTACATGTATTAATTTTTAGTAGTTTCTATAAAAGGCTGTGAGAAATTCCTTGTGTTTTTGAGGCAAATCTCCATTGTCATGATGCTTTCATTTCTGCATTGCACAGTGGAAGGACAAATGTTTGGGAAGTTGAGAAAGTAAGACTGAGCAAGAGAGCCTGGAAAGAGAAAGCAAGATGGAGAGATAGCATATGAACCAAGCCTTTGTTTCCCAAACACATCCCATTGTAGCCTATTGTTTTCCACTGAGCTGGCGCTCGCTAAGACCCCACCACCACTGCCACCACCCTCCTGTCCCTTCCCTTCTCCAACAACAGTGGATTGTATGTGCTGTCTGCCAGTGCCCAACAGAGGGGAAACATACCCTGATTTAACCTGGCGTCTCTTATACAGAGCACGTTGTGCAGCTGGCCAGAGGTGGCCAGCACAGGGCAGCAGCCAGAATCTGTCTCGCTGCCTCGGCAGGCTGTCTAACTGATGGTGTGCTAGAGACTGGGGCTGCATGCAGAATCAGCTCCCTGCTGCAGGCTGCTGCTGGCTCTATTTTTAGCCCCCCAGCTCCCATGGGTCGGGAGAGAGGGAGGGACGTGGACGGGGGGTGGGGGGGGTGGTCTGTCTCGTCGCGGAGAGTTGAAAGTCAACGTGTGCAGACACAATGGTGAGGGGCTGCCACCACACGGTGGAGGAGCCCATTTTACAGAAGCTTGTTGTATCTGCTTCCTCACGCCTACCTCTTCTATCGCCCTCTTACCTGTGCAGCAGCAGCCCTCTGTTGCTTCAGCACTTCATGTTCAATATTGTGAAAAAGTCTTTCTAGTGGGCACAGTGGTAAGATAGAAAGCTGGAGTCAAGGGAGGGGTGGGGGGCTTTGAAGTGTGTCCTCTTTTCAACCATCCACAGCAACTGGATGATCATGAAGCTCTCTGTGGAGAAGAGATTTTGTAAATAAGATGTGTTTAATCGACCGACTGTCAAAGCTTTTGTTTGTTCTTCTTTGTCTGCTCAACCTGCTCGCCTCCTACACTGTTTGTTTAGATCTTCAGCTCACTGTAGGAGGAGATATCTGCATGATGCGTTCAGGTTAAAGTGATAAGCCACTTATCTACATTGTACCTCAGAGATTCCTGTGGACAAAGTCAGCCTAATGTCTACATCGCGCTGCATTATCAAGCGCTCACCAGTGACAATGCATTCTCTTCTCTGAATGAAAACATATGTTTTTCTCAGTAATAATAGTGCTGTGAAAATAGTTGTGATGACACATTCTGTTGCATGCAAAAAAAATATATATATGACAGCTGCTATAAAAATCAAATGCTCCAGTAATGTGCCACATGCTTTTATTAGGTTCGGTGTGGAAATGGAAATATGCTTATAGAAAGCTGCTGAACATAGGTTAGACATTGTAGCGCTCATCAATCTTGTCGCAATTACAGTGCCTGATGATGATGATGATGATGATGATGATGATGATGATGATGATGATGATGATGATGATGATGCAGGAGGAAAAACAGAACATGGTAGAGCAGCTTTTATATACCTGTGGAACCTGAAGTGAACAATAGACATGTGTTGGCACGCTGTGACAGTATGAGCTGGTGTTTTAATGATTCATCACGTGTTGCCTGTTTTTGTCTTTGCGCAGACGGTGGCCTCATGTCCAAGGACACCTTGCCCACTCAGAGCACCACACTGGAGGCTCTGCTGCGAGGAGAGGGTCTAGACAAGAGGAACAACGCTAAGAACGATGAGGAGAGTCTGCTGGAGATCCAGGTTGGTTCTCTGTGTGTGTGTGTGTGTGTGTGTGTGTGTGTGTGTGTGTGGTGTGGTGGTGGTGTGTGTGTGTGTGTGTGTGTGTGTTGCTCTGGTTAAGCTCGTCAGCCAAACGTTTAAAATGTTAATGTTCAGTGATATCACTCAAACAATTGAGGGCCCTGGCACTGGGAGTGAAGTGTTGCGCCCCAACTGGTTGTCAAGGCAACTTGCCAAGTTTTTCCGGCTGACCTGCGGGGCTTGTTAGCTGACTGCTGTCTCGCTGAGAAGCAGCTAGGCCAAGTGGACTGCTTCGAGTCTGATTTCCCATTTACTGAGCGTTATATATGGTAATAATAATGACTTACGGCCACAGAATGATGCATAATATGAACATTCATTTTAAATTCAGTAGTTCTATCAGTCCAAAACATTGCTGGTCTCTGCAGTCAAAAGCCGTCATATTTCAACATCACACATTCCACCAAATATACCTGTGGAAACCTGTGGATATTTACAAAAGGGACATACAAGAAGATGGAGCTTGGAGTACCATAGTGTATCCCTCCTCTCAAGGCAAACGGATAACTTCTAGATCCATCCCACTGCCACTAAACAAATTAATTCAATAAACAATGTCATCTGTAAGCATCCTCACATTAAATAGACATTTGTACAGGAACAGAAAGAACATTACATCTGTCAAAAATAGATTATCTGATAAAGTAGCGTTTTCTGTTGTTGTTGCTGCTCAGTAAGCTGGGCTTTAATCAGAGCTGAGTATTGAAATGGTCTTTCCCCTCTCTCGCTTTCTCTGTCTCTCTCTTTCTCTCTCTCTTTGTGTGTCTCAGAGGGTTCTGGAGGCCGACGCGGCAGAAGACGCTTTCAACGATGATGACGACTACGAAGTAGACACTCCCAAGAGGAGACATCGGGGCAAAGGAAGAGTAAGTGACCAAATGGTCATGTACTTCAGTTGCACTGTAACCCGGGACTCCACCATAAGTTCAAGAAGATCGTTTCTTCTTCATCTTCTCAAATCACATTTAGCTCGGTGTGATTTGTTTTGCGTTCTCTCTATGGATACGATATATATGTGTGTGATGCAGCTCGGCTCTGCATGTTGGAAGGGATAGATTTCATTGCACTGAGTCAGTGGGGTATTTTTTTTCCTCAGGGTCGGGGTTCAGGCCGTAGGAGGACAGACCTGGATGACGACAAGCCATATGTCTGTGACAGTAAGTACAGATAAATTGTGAAACATCTTCTTTTTTTCTTTCTTTTTTTTCACTGACATATCTTTTCAAAAGTGTACAATGCTGAGTTTACAATATGATGTAGTTTCTGGACGATCTGTTGATTTCTCAGACACTTATTGAGACTTTTTCATTATAAGAGTTTTAAGTTTAATATACTGTGTACAGTACCTAGAAAAAATACTCAGAATTTTCTTTATGTATCTCAGACATAATTTCCTACTGGTGAGAACTGAGAAGGATCACACTAAGAAAAAAAGGGGAAAAAGTCAAACCAGTGAAACTCAGTCACAGTTTTTACAGATGAAACCACAGGATGAGAGCAGGCGAACTACTGTTACTGCAGTCTCAAGTATTCCTGTACATGCAAGTTGCATGTGGAAAATCCAGGTGGTGGTGGGGTATTGGATTTTACTCTTGCTGTCACGACTCTTCTTAAACAACACATACTCACCCTGCCTTCCCCTCTTCTTTGCTTTTTCTGTTTCAGACAGATACAAACAAAAGCAGAACTCAAAATCTTCGACCTCAGGTACCTTCATTTGTTGACTCTTTTGGCCAGTAGCTTTCTTTATATTTATTTTGATTGATTGTTGAGTGGTAGTTACAAGTGCTGTGATTATTGATTCAGCCCCTATATTATCTTACTTTTCTCAAGCTGAAGAGTGCCCTTGGTGCTGTGAAACTGAGACATGCTTATTATGTTGTCTGGGTTTCTGTTTTATTTGACTGACTATTGTAATCAGATCTTACAGTTTTTTCCCCTTTTGGAGCCAGAAGTTGAATAGTTACCTCCATTAAATGCCATTAGGCCTATTTAGCTTTCCTATTTATGGTGAGACAAACATTCTGTGCTGCTAAATACAAAAACTACATGTAGTTTTTAATCAAGTTGCTTTATAATTCAGGGAATCACCAGTTCGCCAGACACTGGGTGGGTGTTTGACTCGTAGCTCAGTGAAGGTCTCATTACAATCAGACGATGTTGAGGCCTCCATCTTAAACACAATCGGTCAGAGAAGTAAAAAAAAAATCTGCATTAAGAAATGTTGTGCTGCCCAAATTATTTTTAGACGATGAAATGCGGCCACAGTAGTGGGATTGAACATCTGCCTACTGTTTGTTGCAGTCTGTGCAAAGCGCTACAGGAACCGTACGGGACTAAGCTACCACTACACCCATTCCCACCTGGCAGAGGAGGACAGAGCTGGAGAGAGGAACACGGTGGCGTCCAGGTCTCCCTCTGCACCACAGACTGACAGACACAAACGTAAGAAGTCTGACTGCTGTTCCTGGAATCTACTACAGTGTGTGGTTTCTTTGAACAAACCAAAAAAATGTCCTGTACAGAAAGCTGGCACTAAAATGCTTCAGCATATTTTAACTTTCTTTAACGCATTCTTTGATTTGTTTTTGCCTTTTTTTTTTAATAATAATTTCATCTTTCTAAGATAATTTTTTTGGCATTTATCTTTAGTAGACAGGTCACAGTACAGACACAAAAATGGGAATGCTGCACACTCTTAACTCGGGCGCATTTATTTGATCTTATAAAGATCAGTGTTCCTGCAAAGTGCTTTCCCAAAGGAGAAGAAACAACACGTCACATCGGAGTTATCTTAATTATGAGAATCTGACTTTTGAATAGTGTTGACGTCAACATCCAAGTTGTAAATTACAGCTGGTGCTTCATAATACTGAAGTGCCTGAAGATCAAGAAGACAGTGAGGTCTCACATCAGCCAAAGTCTGCTGTCAAGGCGATTAAACCCATATTTAATGTACATAGATTTATATTGTTAGTGCACACTTTTAGCCCTCATTCGAACAACTGTCTTGACTTGACACGAATGTGTCCCCTCTGTACTAGCTCTCCCATACAACATGGCATTATACTAACCTGGACAATCAACTTGATAAGCCACTCCAAGGAAGGCCTGACACCAAAAACATGCCCATGTAATCGGGAAATCAACAAAAACAAACCAGGAGCACAAAGGAGAGAAATCCGAATAAAAGACATCTTTATTTACAATAGAGAAAGAATCCACCAAAAACAAATCTATATCTACGCAAATAACGCTTCAATCCATTATTGAAGTTTAAGCAAAGAAAGGGAAGTTTCTAATATCTGTATATGGTTTGTGTCCTAATGACAAGCTTACCCCACATAAGTTAGGTAGTAGAATTGCATGTCTTTGAATTGGTACCGATCCCTAAAATTTGGTATTTTTTCTCTGGAATTTCGTCACAGGTCCAAAGGGTCCAGGTGGGACCAGCATTCCCAACAACTACTGTAATAAATGCCAGGGCTCCAACAAGAAAACGGGTAAATCTGGGTCTCCCTGCGCAGCCTGCCAATGCACAAGTGAGTTCATATACACCAAAGTATAATATACAACTTTTTCTATTCAAACTGAATCCAAAGTGTGTGTTCACAGTGGATGATTGGGCCTTGTAAAATGATTTGACTTCCTGTAACTTTATGGTGGTGTCACGTGTTACCCCTCCCCTGTTCACTGACACCCCCCCCCCCCCCAAAACCCCCCCCCCCCCCCCCCCCCCCCCACCCCGTGTTCTGGATCCAGCTGACCGCGGAGAAGAGAAGGAAGATGGGACTTTTACCGGAGCCGAGGAGCTGTTCGGCACCACCTCGGAGAGCGACACTTCCACCTTTCACGGCTTTGAGGACGACGAGCTGGAGGAGCCCGCTACAAACAGCAACGGGATATCCAACCGTCACAGATAGAGCAAACCTTTTTTTTTTTTTTGATGTTTTTTTTTTTTTTATATGGATTAACCTCTGGCAAAAATTTGCTGCTTCTTTTTTCAATGTTTTTGTTTGCAGAAAGCACAAAGTGATAATTTCAGGACAGAAATGCAAGTGGTATTTTATCTACTGAACATTGTTGAATAATTTATGAACACCTTTTTTTATATATAAATATATATATTAACTTTTAAGGCGATGAACGACTGTCAGTGTTTGTTGACAAGTGACTTGGCCTTCATGCAAAATGGAGGATGTTTTTGGAGTGTTTTTTTTTTTTTTTTTTTTTTTTTTTCTCCCCCTCACTGGAGCAGAAGGAGCATAAATATGATGAACAAAAAACACTGGAGAAATTAGAAAATTGAACAAGTGAAGATTATAAAGGCATGAATGATACGTCTGGGGGTTGATTGAATGTCATTGCAGACACACACTTTAGCTACTGGATGTTTTTTTGGACCAGTAGTGGCTGTTACTATGAAGGCCTCTTCTTCTGCTCTAACTTTGGATTAAACTTGTATGAAAATGAAGGAACCAATGAAAGGACTGCCACAGCCCACTGGAAATGTTTGGATGAAGAAGTCTATATAAATATAGTCTTTACAGATGTGATGGACTTAACAAAAAATGGAAGGTAAGCAACAGGTTCTTCTCTCATTCAGGGATGTAAGACATTTTGCAGATCATGGATTAACAAACAGTTGTTCAGACTACTTGTACATTAACTAAGTGTTGTCACAAAATAAGCAGATTACCGAAATAGTTTGTCAGTGATACAAGCCAGTGTAAATGTGATACAGCTAAATACATTGTACATTTATTGGACAGTCACAGACAGTCAATCATCCTACTTTTTAAGCTGCAGAAATCCATCTGACAAATCACAATAACAAAAAATAGGAATCACACATTATTCTAGTTCTTATCTACACTAGCAGCTCCAGGGATGGCAGTTTTAGCCCACCACTTTGATCCGGGCTGAAATATCTCAACATTTATTGGATGGATTGAAGCAGGTTATGGTGCAGACATTGATGGGCCTTAGAGGATGACTTTGGTGATCCCTGACTTTTCCTCTTGTGTCATCAGCAGGTCAAAATGTCACTTTTGCACTTGTAGTAAAAGAAGAACTTCATTTGGGCAACGCGTTTCTGCTTGTGGCCTTCATCAAGGTCACTTTTCCGATATGACCAAGTAGCTGCAAAACTAATGAGATTCCCACCAGCCTCTGTTGCACTTTGTGTTCAGCGCCCATCTGCAAATGTTATTATGCTAACAAACTAAACTAGGTTGGTGACCGTGATGAGCAATATACCCGATAAACATCAGCATATTAACATTTATCTGCTGGCCTGAGCACGGCCTCGCAGAGCTGCTAGTGTGGCTGTAGACTCTTAGTCTTGTTCAGACGTACCGTGTGTGAGTCTAACACATATTGTCTGCGTTACACAGGAGCACTCAGCACATTGGCCCAGAGGTGGGGGTGACCAGTGAAGAAGAGGATTTAACCCTCAAAAACTGATGAGCCTTCATGTCCCTCCCGTCTCGGGCCTAAAATATCTGACTGAAACGGATGAACGGACATCCACCACTTCTACAGGCCATGCGGCTTAATTGAAGCAACTGCTCCCTTGACGATATGTATCGATCCCCTCTGAACATTTGATATGTGAGTAGATCCAGCTTCATTTCATCCTTTTCTGCACTGTGCTGGAGCTCCACTGAACTATGGGAACACTAAAGGCCAGGCCTTTGGACTTGTTTGTGCCCAACGGGTGCATTTGGGGCCCTCGCGTCCCAGCCTGCCCACTCTTGCTCTGTGACTGTGTGTCTGCTGTGTGATCCGATGTGACACTAAGACGTCATTATCCTCATCACTGTGCCAGCCTGCCGCTCTGCACTGGAAAACCAGCTCTGACAGCCATGACCCTCCAACCTTATTGGACCAGTGACCCCCTGACCCCCAGCCATAGAGATGGTGCTCAAATCCACCACTATTACATGCAGACCTCTGGACTACTGTATTAATACTCTGACATGGACGCAAAGGTTTTCTGCTTCTGTCCCTCTGTCTGTTTTTGCTCTATCTCTTCTGCCTCTCTCATCTCTAATGGGCCGCAGTAATTTAGCTCATTTTTTTTTTTTTTTTTTTTTGCATCTTTTCTCTGTTGTATAATATTTCTATGTTTTGAACTCTTTAAAGTTTAATTAGTATGACTTCTTGGGTTTGTTCAGACTGTATCAATACCTCTGTCCTGATCAGGTGCACAATAGCCACAACTACTCAGGCATCTTTCATTTCCTCTGCTGTTGATTGTTCAGCCACTCAGCCCTGATTCATGTGATTGTATTCAGTTGGCGAGGAGGGACAAAAACGCCACACACGGATCCCATTACAATCAACTCCCAGGAGGGATTTGGGACGCTGCAGCCTCATGCTATAGGAAAACATCGCAATAACAAGCTTCAGCTTTGTCTGGCCTATGCGGATTTCGTCCACTTTTTGTCTAAAATCTACACCCTCAGTAGATTCGGATGAGAGTGAGATTCATCTTGAATGCATTTGAAAAAAATGTCATTGCTAGCGAGACATAACCCCGCTCAGATCCACATACTTGGTGAGAAGTGGAAACTGTAAAATCCAACATTTGTGACATTTCCGTTGAGTGCTTTAGAGGGCCTAATTGCTTTATGACATTTAGAAGGTGCTTGAAGTACTGTATCAAAAAGCCTTTTAAGTCCATAGGTTGCACATGCTGTGTAAGAGGTCCATGTACTTCCATGTGATTATTCAGTATCGCTGCAGTGTGATAATAGCCGCTCCGTTTTTGAAGCTAACCATTAATCCTTACGTGTCCGGTATGACTTGCTTGTGCATTCAAACCAATTTTCTTCACTTCCCTCAGGGACCCTCCACACAGCAGTTTATCTCATCTGGACTTTCATTGGATCTGAGACTTGTCAACTATCTCGTCGTCTTCTCTTGTATCAGTTATGTGGTGTTTCCACAGTAAAATAGTGTCTTTTATCTTCTAAAGTCACGCCAGTAAGTGAAAGCATGTGTCATCAGTCATAACCTGTTACCTACCGTATAACAAACAGGCCAAGTGTGGTGCAGTTCTGAACAAAAGGAGAAGCTCCTAAAATGCAAAAGTCAGTGACGTCTGCTTAAAATAACGTGTCACCAATCATTGAATAGCCTGTATACCTCGTCAAAGACACAGCAATAGGCCCTGGTACTCTCTTGTCAAGCCTGCCGGGGGTGGAGAGGGAGGATCGGGGTGGGAACGGAGCCAAGAGGAGATGAAATGGACATGACTGGGTGTTTGTTTCATCTTCAGCTGTAAATACAAGTCGAAATGGAGAGAATGAAGAAGTCTTTGTTTGTTAAACTATTTTTATTGTTCTGAAAAAAAATAAAGAAAAAAAAATAAAGAATTAATGGCGATCCTCTGCTGTTTTTCCAAAAAAAAAAGGCCATGGATCATCTTACAATGGCGGCTGATAAGCAGAAGAATCCAAACTGGATCAATAGGTTGGAGTGACCCTCAGACTTTGTGAGCAGACAGAGAGGAAAAACACAGCTTGAGTTTGTTAGAGCGGTGGTAGCTCAGGACTCTAAATAGGAACAAGACGACAAAGAAGAGGCTCTACTTCGGGGAGCTCGTATTGATCGGTAGGTGCTGCTTTAGAAATCAAAAGTAAGTATGTAGAGGTCGTATCAGAGCAGCAGAGGCTGTCTGCAGAGAGGGATATTTGCTGTTGGCGGCATGTGGGATCTGAATGTTAACTGCGGGTACAAGTAGAAAGGTAAGGAGTAGTGAAAATGATTTGAAGGGAGCTGAAAAGAATAGTCTGATAGCATTGTGAGAGCTGATTCCACATGGATTCTGTTAAATGTAACAAATCACTTTATCACAGAGTGGTATACAACAGCATTTAAACAGGTTCAAGAAACTAAATCTCTAGAGCAGGCATATAGACTCCTTGAAATTGAGAAATTTGTAAAGCTCAAAACAATTATAATGGGACCCGTTGTGAATCACTCTATATACACTCACATGATGTAAAGAGCCATTCCAGCTTTTCAGCATTACTCTTCCACAATGTACGGAAACTCACAACAGACAAATTTAGGTCGGTATCCTGACATTTAGTCCCTAGTATGGGTCAAATCTTCTAAACTTCTAAATCCTACATTTCCCATAATGCAATCCCAAATCACCTTTTCATTAGAACCTGCCTGCCTGGTAAATGCCCGTGTCTTTCAAACCCTATGCTGTCAGTTTGTGAGGCAGGATTTCGACAGGGCCACAAAAGACACAATGCAGCATTCAAATCGCTGGCATGTATTAGTACAATGATATTGTGTTTGCTTTTTAGCCACTCTGGTGGCATAGCTCTATATAACAATGTCAGTGTGTCTGTTGGTCCAGACAGAAATATTGCAGCAACTATTGGATGGATAGCCTTGAAATATGGTGCAGATAATTTAATCCTATGGAACAAGAATACCAAGTCTCCCTTAAGTTAGTTTCAAATAATTTTGCCAGAAGTGCTAATGAGTGAGAGGTGTCACCCCACGGAGAAGACACCTTTGTATTCGATTGTTTAGTAATGGAGCAGAACACAACACCAACAAGACAGCGGCACAGAGCAGACAGGTCCAGAGTCTTTATTATTTGGTACCCATGAATAGATAGCAGGTGCTTGAGTGTTTTAGAGTGCCAGTAGTTATTTTGCTGATTGAGAAACTAAAAGCACAAAATGCCCTGAATATGTTACATGCATAGTAATGTGCCCATATCATAATAAAGTGTGCTTTTGGATAATGAAATTTAGCCAGTTTACATCTACAATGCACTCTGTACATAGTGTCATTGTGTTTGTGCTGAGAATAAACATTTGGTACATCGACTCAGGTTAAACATCTCTCTCTACCTTATAATCAAGAGGTTATTGGTTTATGATAATAATGATAATTATTAATATGACCTGTACAGTGCATTGCAACGACTCTAATATAAAAGAATAGATGATTCACTCATTCAGCAGTGTCAGTCCGTCACTGTAGCAGTCACTGGCCTCATGGGGGAGCTGTGAGATTGAAATCTCTTTAGTCCGAGAGCTTTCTGTCTGGAGAAGAAGGTTGAAGCCACAGTGGAGCAGAGAGGCCTTAATGTTCAGTGTGCGGCGCCCGTGACGGGTCAGATATTGTCCCCCAGTTGCGTTTCCGGGCTTTGATGTCCGTTCACTGAGGAGAATTGCTCCACTTCAGGGCTTTTCCCCATCTGTGCGCTGTCTTTGGAGAGTCCAACCATCTAACGCTCCATTATGGTTCAATAACATGCACCATTTTCCCCAAAGTCATTGAAACACATGACACTATTAAACGGAGAAGTCATGGCATACATTTTGCCAAACAATAAAATGGGCAGGTTTCATTATTTTCAGAAAACAAAAGATGGGAAAATCATGCAGTACAAAAACAATAAAACATAAATGATCCCGTAACGGGCAGCAGGCCTTGTAATATCTCCATGATTGAAGAACAACTAGTTCTGACATCATGATGTCCTTCAATATGACATGAACACAACACAATAGTCTTGTAACACTCTTGTTGCTGGTCCTGTGGTTTATCCACCACTAGATGGACCCATGGCACCGGAAAACGTTGAACACTACACTATGGTGGGAGCCTGAAAAGCGTGTGGATGCTATTTCACACGTGACTGTGCACACTAGAACTAAAGTAAACCTCAAATCACTGTGATTCACGCCACCATGTGGGCCATGTGTCTTGAAGCATCTAAGACGTTTCTTCACGCAGACATTTGAAACTGATCAATTTGACTGTGCAGCCTGAAAATGTTTGGAACTTGAAGCCTGGAAGTTGTTAAAGCAGTGGACCAATTTGCCAACTGGAATAAATTCATCTTTGCCGTAAGTCTCATTGCAAAGCACTGTTGCAGAGACGAAACATTAATCCTCGACGAAGACATTTGGATGAAACATGCAACAGTGCAGTGTGGATGCTACATTAAGCCCTTATGCCAGATTTTTGGAATGTAATGAAGCATGAAATATTATACCTTCAAAAATCAATTTTGTAGATGTCATTAAATATAACTTATGGGAAAAACCAACTTTGGATACTTGAGTTCTGCTAAAACTACGTTCACAATTTAACTGGCATGTCATGTGCTTTATAAGAAACAGATATAATAGAAATTTCAAGGTTATAAAAAGAGGTTGGATATATTTCAAAAAAAAAAGAAAAAGAAAAAAGTGGTCTCATGCTTTAATTATTGCTGGCTGCCTTGCGAGTACAGAGACGTACGTATGTAAAATAGATTTGTGTCTGTGTTGATGTGCTTCTTTGACCTTTTTATTTTTACGCAGTCATGTCTGAGTTAGAACTGGCCCCAGCTGCTTTAGGACAATTAAAGCAATTGTCAATTCATTGTAAGTTTTGTGGCAAATAGCTTTTAAATGCAGTTTTTTTTTATTTTTTATTATCAAAGAATATTGTTGCTTTTGATATCCAATAAACATGTATATAAAACAAAATGAAAACAATATAAACTAATCAGTTTAGTCGACAAAGAGCCTAACAACCAGTTGGCCAACTAAGTGATGAAAAGAGGGCAGCCCTAGTCTGGATGTGCTTATACTGTATGCTGCATGCCATGTGGTGTGTTGGCTGAGGTTCCCCTTGTCAGCATTGTCTTTTCCTCATTGGTTCCCGTTTGGGTTGTTCACCCCAGCAGGCCCCAGTGCTGCACTAACAGTATGGCAGCGGTCCTCGGAGCAGTGTCCGAGAGCCTCCACAGCAGCCCCGTCCAGCCCAGCTCCACTGTCTGTGCCCCTGCCCCGGCCCCTGTGTGGCGGTCACCCCTCCGACGAGGTCTGGGTGTGCCCCTCCAGCACAGGCTGTGTCAGGATGACTGCATCAGGCCTGTCAGGCGCTTTCCCGTCAAAGACTTGCCCTAGAAGGTCAATTAAAACGCAAACACATCACTAGACTGAGATGCTGTACTTTATAGAACTTTATAAATCACACTGAATCTCTAGCAACAAGGTGATTGTATTGAAAATGCTAAGCTGCAACCATTCATGTGACTAGCATGTTATCTTATGCCCACATACACATCCTATTACAGGTCTAAAAGCCACAATAGAGTGTAATATGGTTATAACTGCAAAAGCCACTGATAGTGAGCCAGCCAGTGTGGTTTGTGATATGAACAGCCCCAGCTCCAAATGACTTACCACACTGCGGGTGAACTTCTCCAAGGAGGTGCGGCGGCCCTGTTCAGTGTCTGCTGGCTGCTGTTTTGGGAGGGGGGGAAGCAGGGTGAGTGTTTGGGTCAGGTACGGGTGTTGACGAGGGGGGGGGGTTGGGAGTGATGCCGTTAGTGAGGGATAAAAAAGGGGGTCAGGCATTGCAAAAATGAGGGCCGTGGACAATGTGGGGGTTGCATTTTTTTTTTTTTTTTTTTTTTAGGAAATGGAGTGGTGTCAGTGACAGGCCAGCAGAAGGAGCGGTGTCCAAACGGGACAGGGCAGAAAGGCTAGCATGAACAGAGGCAGCTGTGATTTGCTGAAAAGCTCCATATTACACAGTAACAGCTCAATGAGTGTTTGTTTAGCTGTGCAAGTCTTAGAAATGACATTGATAAGATACAGGAGGTAAACTACATAACATGAAACCAACAAAATCACCAACTGCTACAACATTGTCACATATTACGCTGCATCTGTCAGCCACTTATACACTGTACTGGTCTGTTATATCTATATACTGTATGGTGGTTGCTCTCTGTCCACAGAATGACTCCTGTTCCTCTCTTTCAGAGCAGTTTGGCATATGATGTCATGTTTTTCAAGACTATTCCCTCTAAATAATTTAGCATTTTCCTTGCACCTGCAGGTTGGGCACACTGGTTTTGCCATTTTGGGGTCTCTGTTACTATTGTAGTCTCATGAAATCTCACATACAGTATCAAATTGCTGGTTGCCACATGTTAGTAAGAGCTGGCAAAAAAAACTACTAAATGACATTAAAATTACCCACATTTGTAGCATGTAAGTGTGATCAGATTACCTCAAAGATGTTTGAATTACACTGCTTTCCCCTTGTACAGTATATCATGAAAACCTCACCAACTAGTGGTGGAACAAGTAAGTACTTTTACTCGAGCAAAAGTAGCAGCACCACCGCGTAGAGATACTGTTACAAGTAAAAGTCATGCATTCATAAGCAGAAGTACATAAGTATCAACATCAAAATGTACTTAAAGTACCAAAGGTAAAAGTTCTCATTACGCAGAATGGCCCATTTCAGAATAACGTTTATTATATTATTGGATTATAAATGTTAATGTATTGATATGTAAGCATCACTAATGTTGCAGCTGGTAAAGTTGGGTTTATTTTAATTACATTACAGTATATACTGCCAGGTAGCTTCATCTATAATCTCAATGTGCAAAAAAAATGTATTAGAAGTGGAAAGTAGAAAAAAATGGAAATGCTCAAGTAACGTACAAGTACCTCAAAATTGTACTAGTAAATATACATTCCACCACTGTCACTAGCAGCTTGTAATAGTGATTCTTTATCTAACTCTTGACTGGATACACACAAGAAATATGAACCTGTAATGTCCTTTAAATCATAAAAATTAAGAATCAAACTACTATGACAAATGTAATAAAAGTGGTAAAGCTTTATAAAAAAAAAAAAAAAAAAAAGAAGAGGGGACATCGGGGTCAGTGAGTGCAGCTCACCTTCTTTCTGGCTAACAGGAGGTCTTGATAGATGTTGGATCGCAAAAAGCGTGCATAGCTGTCACTTTTCATTAGCTTGAAAATGTGCTCCTGCAAGAGAAAGGAAAAGTGATGAGTGCTTGTTGGCCTGGCTGATGCCAGTAAGAGAAGAGAAAGAGAAGTGCAATGAAATAAAAAGGGAGATCTGATTATGGTAATGCATTATTGTATTCATGTGTGGTTGGTGAGGGTGCAAACCGAGCATGCTGACATGAGTGGCCGAGTCCTGTGAGACGGAGCTGAGTAATGTCCTGCCAGCGAGAGGCGTTTCACGTCACACACCACCAACCCACTTTGAAACCAGAAGAATCCATGGTGAACCGACCGAACAACCTATTCATGGCATTACTCGCCTCATTAGGCCCTGGCACAAACACACTCCGTCATTCTTCTTCTCTCCTCTCTCTCTTTCTATTCCTCCACGCCCTCTCATTCATTCACTTGTGTAACGTGAGTGGGGATGGAAGGGTTCAGTGTTTCTGTGGGTGGATGAGAGAGAAAATAAAATGGCTGTGTGTGTGTGTGTGTGAGTGTGTGTGTGTGTGTGTGAGTGAGTGTGTGTCTGCGTGTGTGTGAGTGTGTGAGTGAGTGAGTGAGTTATGTAGTGGTGGGTAAACCCATCTGAACTCAGTGAAAGGAACTTTTTACTTGAAAAATAGAGCTTCTATTTGACATAACTGTATATCTTTTTAAATTTTAACAACACACTGTAGAAAGTGCAGTCAAATTGTAATGAAGTATGGCCCCCTCTACATGACCTCTATATTCGTTATATCTATGTGCACAGGTGCAGTCGTGTTAATACTATACGTGTCTGGTGTTTGTTCAGCCTTGTGTGAGTGTGGCGTTCATGCACACGTGAACATGCATATCCGTGTGAATCCATCCATGAGGGAGAAACAACACAGTCCACCTGAGCGTCCTCATAGCTGTATCGTCCGGGGTCTTTGAGGTTCTGGCTGGTGCGCTCGTAGCTGTGAGAGTCCAGGTTGATGGAGCTCGGCGCTCCCTCAGCCAGAAACTCCTGCCAGATCTCCTGCGCCCTGGAGGGCACGTCCTGGAGCGGCCGTCGCTTCAGATCCTGCACAGCTAACCAGAACCTACAACAGTGTCAAATCTAGTCAGTAACAACCTCCCAAAAATATACAGTAAATATAAAAGCAGCCTTTTTTGTACTAAAGTTACTCTTATATGAGCTTATGATGCCATTATCTATGATAATTAATGAACAAATTAGCAAATATGTCTATACATGTAAATATGCATGTTTACATCTGCAGTATTTTAATTAGTAGTACTCAGTACTCGGATTTTATATAACTGAACTATTGCTGTTATTGCTGATGCAAACACGTATGCAGCATTTTAACCTTGTAGATAGGTTTGTATTATGTTGGGTAAAGGTCGGTGTGTTTTTAGATGATCATACATTTTGCATGTAAAATTTGAATCGGTAGAGTAATCTATAGCTGTCAAATAACGGTGGAGTAAAATATTATTTCCCTGTGAAATGTAGCAGAGTAAGAAAATAAAGTAACAGAAAATGATCAGACTAAAGTAAAGTACAAGTTCCTCAGAATTGTACTAACAGTACTTGAGTAAATGTTTCCACCACCATGCATGGTATTAGTATTATGTATATATCTTAAAGTATTAAGGAGTTGTAGTAAGAAAATTCTTATTATTTGTGCTGCAAAATATTATTCGATTATTGACCTAAATTAAATTTCTATCTGTGTTACTGTATGGAAGGAGTGCTCCACCACAATGTTGGACTCACAATGGATAGTTTCAAAAAGAAGAAGAGATAAGTAGAGGGCTACAGAGGTCTAAGAAACACTTCTTCAGACCCAACCAGCGCTGACTCAAGTGACATCACTTGAGGCAACTTGTCAGTAGTATGCTACTACTCAAGACCTGTAAACAGACTTTTGATGAGTAAAATCGGTGGAGTTTCCCTTATGCTAAAATATCCCACATAGCGCACCATACCATAGTGTTTAAGGAGGAAAATTTGTGAAATAAAATTATGAAAGGAGAGCTGAATGTCTCACCGTAGGTTCTCTGAGCTGAACTCCGACTCCAGGAACTTCAGGAACTGGTCTCGTCCTGCCGGGTCCTTCAGCGCCTCCTCCAGAGAAAAGCCCCATTTCTTCACCCGCTGCTGGCTGGGGTCACGACTGCTCACAATACAACCGATTACATAAGAACATAAGAAGAAAAGAAAATAGAAAAGTGTGGTTCATTGTTAACAAGTCATTTTCCCTCTTGGTCTGCAGAGAGCAGAGGCCCAAAAGTCAGAGCACAGTCAACCTTTCATCTCATTTGAGATGAGATGCGAACAGACAGATATCTCCTAATTCAGGACAGCAAGTTCATCAGCACCAAGAACGCTACGCTCCACCTGACCTCAGCATTGGTTTAAAGCGTTATCAGCCCCCAAGGAACTCTCTGCCCACATCCCAACATGTCCTCACCTCGCCTCCAAGTCCCAGAAGGACGTGTCGTCACCGATCCAGGGGTTGGAGGGCTCTGTGGCCGACACAAAGGGGTCGTATTCCATGAACTGCTCCGTGTAGCTCATCAGACTGTCGGCCACTTTGGAAACCTTCATGCAGTGTCTGTCCAGCTGGATGTTCAAGAAGGTAATCTGATGGAGAGAGAGAGAGAGCGAGAGAGACTAATGAGGAGGCTAAATAAGGTAGCAGGTCATCAGTCTGCAACCCCCGACTGCCATTATGATGGATGGGTGAGGCGGGCTGCTGGTAATGACCTAAGGAGAAGACTGTCACACAGTGAGTTACCTCTTTCTGAACGTCCTCTTTGGTGGTCTTCCTGGTCGGCTGGGAGCTGATGTGGACGGGACTCGGCTGGCTCTGACCGTCATCTGGTACCCCGTAGACCGACTGCAAAGAGCGAGGAGAGAGACATGCTTTGTTTTGATACCATTGTTGTTGTTTTGACACACCAGGGACTCTGGGGAGTCACAGGGAGTCTGTAGCTGCTGTTGGCGTCAGGGATTGTGTCAGGGAATTTGGGGGCGTTAACAACCTGAAGTGGAGTTTAGATTTAATATTTAACTCAATATCTTTTCATGCAACACACACACACACACAAATAGCAATTTTTAGCATTTTTATATTGTTTTGTAAAATCTATATATTCAATTAAAAATAATTTGATCAGTCTATACAATACTACAATATAAATAATATACTATAGTAAATTAAAATATATATATATATTTTATTAAAGACATTTTATAAAAATATATTTTATGAAATATTTTTACGACTAAAAATATTTAGATTTTGTAATTTTGTCAGACAATTAAAAACAAAATGCAAAATGTGTATATTTTATTTAAATATTTTATTAAAAGTATTCATTTTATTTAAAAAAAAAACTATATTTTTTGTCAAAAAAATCAGATACAGTAGGTGCGGTGGTGCAGGGCAATCTGGATATATGACCTCAGTATTTCTAAAAACTTGTGTGGGACAATAAGTTTGACAAACACCAGTGTTGAGATAATAATATTAAGGTTGGAAAGCCACACACTCTGTCTCCCCTGCTCACCTTTTTTACCCTGTGTGGGTTCCTCTCTCTTCGGCACTTGCGGATGTCCATCTCTGTGGTGTTGACACAGCCTGGCTGTGGGAGGCAGCAGGAGACAGAGTGTGTTTCTGGGTCAGATAACAGTGTTTCTCCAGCATGTATTGTCTGCGCCTGTCCTCCTCACACAATACTATGCTGTCTTTCTATTCAACGACGCCATGCTCACAAAAGGCTCATATGCAAAGTGACTGGCACCAAATCTGATTCTGCTACCAACAACAAAACAGGGCTCTCAACTGAACAGAATGCGGCGCTGAATCGGCTGTTTTCAGAGTTTAAATGCTAAAATTGTCTACCTACATAACAACCCTTCTTTTCTTTCCTTCTTCTTTTTTTTTGTTCATTTCCATTTTTTACAGTTGCAGCATCTGACCTTATTTTCCTTTTCTTTCTTCATGACTTTGATCCTTACTCACCACTGGCCGATGGACATCCCAGAATGCCCTCTCCTGGCTGTCCAGGATCTTCCTCTCTGCCTTGTCCTTCTTCCTGTCAATCCTGTGAACAGAGGAAACAGACCACTCATACATGGAGCTCACGCCTCTGACACATCCAATCAAACAGCGTAAACTCAATAAATCATGCCTCACAATTAAGGCACACACTGTCTGTCTGCCACACACACACATACACACGCACACGCACACACACACACACACACACACACACACACACACACACACACACACACACACATGCTGAAACCACTGACAAGCCAGACTAGAGAGCAAAAAGCTGATGAGTGTGGGTCTTAACCTGTCTGCTCACTTCACCCAGCCATGCCTGGTGTTGCTGCTGGTGGGGCTGAGCTCTTACATAACTGACATTTACCGATTGGTCCTTGCTTGGCATTGTTTAATCCACAGATGTAAGAAGGCGTGTAGCTTTCCATATCGCCCTAACTTGTATGAAACAGCAGTCACTTGACAATGACATTTCCGTGAACATTTTCTATAGACAAGAGAGGAAAGGTCCGTCTTCAATGAATGATGGGAGGAATTAGTGCTGTGCACATGCCAGCCACCAGATGGAAGTCTTACAAGAGAGAGAAGTTAGGGAGAAGAGTGTGTGTGTTTCTTCTCATAGGGAAGTATTTGCTGTATTTAATGCATATACAGCCCTCCAGTCATAGCACAGCATAACATCAGAGCATTGTTAATGAGAAGAGCACTGGCCCGATGCCCAACTGAGAGCACACTGAAGCATTTTCTCTTCCTTAGGGAAATAACACTCAAGCATATGTCAAGCATATGGACAAAGGTTGGTGTTTGTACATTTGAATATAAAAAAACTAATTTCACCAACATATGTCCATCCTCTATATCTCTCTATAAGTTTGTCATGTCAGTAAGACACTGACGTCAGGAGGTGACGTGTTTGTGATTCATATGTACACACTTGTACTCACTTGACTTGAGCCTCAGCTTGCATGAAGATGAACTCCCACTTCCTGGCGAAAGCCCTCTGCAGCCGGGCGAGGTTCTCCTGGAGGAACCAATCAGGCAAAGCGTTAGGGGAGAAGGTCATTTGAATCCAAGGTCTTTGGATGATTATATTATCCATTCACTGTGATGGCGCGCCATAACTGTGGATTTACTGTTGCTGAGATGAGACAACCTCTGACTAACATGTCCCTGAAAAAGTCACTGAACTGCTGATAGCACACAGGTTTCAAGCTGTTTTTGTTCACACTAATATTAATTTAATCACCGTAATAGCTGTAACTAATGACTGCATTATTCTTAGTAGTTAGTAGGAGTAGTTTGACATTTTGGGAAATATACTTATCCACTCTCTTGCCTAAGAGCATGCTGAGAAGATTGATACAGCTCTCACACACGTGTGCTAAATATTAAGTCATATATTACCAGCAGCCAGTTAGCTTAGCTTAGCACAAGGACTGGAAAGAGGATGAAACAGCTGGTCTGGCTCTGTCCAAAGGCAACAAAATCTAAAGCTCACTAATTAACATGTTATATATTATTTAATCCATGCAACAACAACAAAAGACTTCCTGTAACTTCCTGGAGTCTTGACACTTTGGTTTATATATGGATGGTGTTAATTAGTGAGCAGTATTTTCTCGTGTAGGTGGATTTGGTTACCTGTGGACCAAGACATGCTAGCTGTTTCCCCTTGTTTCTAGTCTTTGTGCTGAGGTAAATGAACAAACCTTTGGCTGTAGCTTTGTATTTAGCATAGATGTTAGTGATATCAATCTTGTCATCAGTTCGATGAGAAGATGTTCATTTTTACAATATCATCTGTGATCAGCATGGGATGATCTCCAACACAGGTCGCGACTCATACCACCAACTCATGAGTACGCTGAGTGCAGATAAATGTTGCTTTGTAAAAAAAAAAAAAAAAATCTCTTTAAAGCTCCATACTGTACACATATCAAAGCTGCATGTCCTTAATAACAAACCTAAACAAGCATCTGTCAAAGATACAGAACGTGACCTCGTTACAAAGAGAGAAAAAACCTGAGTACCAACTAGCAGGCATGTAACAGTGAGAGCAATGAGGCCTGGAGGCATAAAGTGACCTGAATAGCAGAGAAAGGAAGTCTACTGGACAATAGTTGCAGAGTAATTTAGAATATTAAAGTGCAGTTGATTGCTATTGTATAACAGCAAGAGATCAGCAGTACAGTAATGCCTCCCTTAACACTCTATTGATCTACTAATGCAAAGTAGGCTTATAGATATTTTTGTTTACATTTTGGGGCCGGTAAATGACTGCATCATATTCTGCCAAATGTTGTTCCTGAAGATCTGTATAAGTGTGTAATTTGATAAAGGCATTTTGCTCGGAGGAATGGATTTTGGCATTTCAAGGCCCCAGAGGACAACGTATCAGCTGTTTTGTTCTTTGGCATAGTGAAGGAAAACAGGAAATTCAGAGTGTCATCATATTATGATCAACGCACAATGATAGCATTGAACTGAGAGTTTCCCGGCAATAAGCAAGAGCAAAATGACAGTGTACTTACAGCCTCATAGTCAGCCAGCTCAAGCCTGGCTTTATTCTGCATGGTGCGCTTGCACAGGTAAATGGCTGGAGGGGGAAAGAGAGTACGAGTGAGACATGAAGAGGGCAATAGAGTTAGTGCGCTGGGTCGTTTTTTTTGTACAAAACAAAAAAGTGTATTTCCAACGGATGGTGCTTTTTTTTTTTTTTTTTTCACTGAAGTCTCAGCTGTGTGAACCATCACTAATGAATGTTATACCGGAGCAGGCAGGCAATGTGTTGTCTTCTGAAATAACAAGCCTCGAGTAAATGCCATGCAGAGAGCCCGAGATGTGGTCACGTCAGTGACTGTCTCTTTATTTTGTTAGGCTAATCTCATCCCATAGGGTTCTCTCCACTGGGTGTTCCTTGGGGGGCAGATACATTACAGGGAATGGCCATGTGGATCAATAACTCAGTGAGTGTCAACAACGGATCTACAGTACAAGCTGTGTCTCAGCTCTGGAGGATGATAGACAGCTGAAGGCGTCAGTGAGATCTCGCTGGTTAGGAGAAAGAGGCAAAAATTGATAGACAGTGTGTGACTCACCATAGTCTGTGTTCTCAGGCTCCCAACAGTTTGAAGGCCAGAAGTATGGAGACTGAAGAAAGCAGAGGGGGACAGAACAGAAAGACTTTGTTTATTTACTCATGTAATCAGTAATACACTATTTTCTTTGCATAAGAGTTGAGATAAACAATAATATTCTCTAATATGAATGTTGGAATCTCACTTCTCCCACCGCCCACACTCCCTCTGCACTTGTCTTCCACACATAGTCAAAAGACGACTCTTTGTTTGATAATGATCCTTGACGTCCATGTGCTGCACATAACTATCTGGGGAGCAATGGTAGCTATATTCTCCCCATCCATATTTAATTGTCTATTGCAACTGATATTACACATTCAAAGTTCATTCCCGAGTCCATTAATAATGGATCACTCACATCTATCATGCATTCTTAATAACAGGGCCGAATTAGAACTTGGTGGTACTCAACCACATATTTCACTTCCACTATTATTCATGATGATAATTAGTCTAAGAGCAAAAGGCTGATGCTGATGAATGTGCTTGTTTGAGTGTAATGAACAGAAAGGTTAACATGCTCTCATTCAGCACTGTAATTGTATCCTCAGAGAAGATCAAGTTGATATACAGGACTTCACATGTTCATGCACAAATCGGAAAAATATGTGACAAACAACAGAAGACAGTTGTCATTAAAACTGGGTCATCTACCAGTGTATAGTATCTATTTTTAGACTAGCAAGGAAAAATACCCCTGTCACTATTCCTCACAGCACAGCTCTGGAGACTGGCCAATACATTTGAAATGCACCATGGACTCTTTTGAGAGGTTCTGATGACGTGGGCCTGTTGCATCACGACAACATCAGAGGAAATATATTTTTAGCCGCCGCTGAATGAGCAAGTGTGACACACGCTGCCCTCCCTGCGCAGGCACAATAATGGCTTTTAATCTCCAGCAATAGAGGTGAAGATAAATGCATTCAGTGGTAGATTGAGGGGGAGGAGCAGGGGTAGGCTGGTGACAGAGAAAAGTGCAGAGCCAGCGTGCAGCCAGCTCAGTGCTTCCCATAGGGGAGCCTGCCTACTGTAGCTGGCTGGCCAGATTAGGATTGTAATGGCCCAGTCACAGTAATGAGTCATCGTGGAGCCCATAGCCATCAGTGGGACCTGTCAAAGTTCATGCTGGATCAGATGGAGCGAAGGAAAAAAAAAAAAACACCCCTCCAGCAAGCTGCACGGGTGGCCCACAGGCGCTTCGCTGCGTCCCACCTCCTGCACTGACGCAGCGTCCAGCAGGGATAGAAAGTATCGACCTTGGTGGGATGAGTAATAGGCTTAGCAAGGATTGCTCTCATTAGCACCACGCAACAAACATATCCCTCTGATAACTACCATCATCTCATTATTCTATATTCAAAGGCCTCCTAACACATATCTCTCATAGGACTCTCCCATGGTTTCTGTACCTGAAAGCGATAAAGGGTTCCATCGTCTTTAAGCGTCAGTACGTGGTCAGAGATGGGGAAGATGTAGCCGTGTGCAGCGACCAGACTCCCAAGGTGGATGGCTTCAGCTGTTGACAAGAGAGAAGGCACAAAGATAGGAGAGGGGGAGTGTTCGAAATTGCTCTCTTCTTCGATTGAGCTCTGTTGTGCTTAAATGTAATGGCACATTTTTCAGCAGGCGTACCTGGGTCCTCAATGGAGAGGTTTTTCATCAGCCACTGAACAATGTCAGCCCCTGGTATTCAGAGAAGGACATTGGTTAGAAGTAGAGTCACAGTCCCACATCTGCAATAGATTCAACAAATGCTCTAATCCGCAAACACAAGTGAGCCTTGAGGAAGTGTTTGTGATTCATCTCTGTTCAAAGCTGTGGGTCAGAGCTGTCAAAGCTGAGTAGGTGTCTAAATATAACATAATGTTAACAGGTTTTCAGCCCCCTCCCCTCTCTCTCTCTCTCTCTCCCTCTCTCCCTCTCTCTCTCTCTCTCTCTCTCTCTGCTCCTGCACAGCACAACATCTGGCCCGGCCTTTGAGCTTGGCAGAGGCTGCTGAGCGAGAGCGTGAGGCAGTCGGGCCTGGAGGAGCCAATGTGAAGGAGTGACTCAGAAAACAGCCTCTGGGAGAGAGGGAGCAACCCCCTCGTCCAACACTGGTGACTCATTTCATACACAAGCACACACATATGCACACACACACAGAGGAGTACAGTGTGTATACACACAGAAGGGTACAGACAGAAAAGAAAAGGAGAAAAGTAGCTTTTCTGCGGTGTGACAAGGGCAGCGTCACACCACAGGCTGTTTCCTCAGTGGCTGGGGTCTTATCGGCAAAGACATCATCTGCCTCCAACTGTAGTAGGAGCAATTTAAATGAGCCCAAAAGGTCATATTTGCTTTACTGATTCTGACGCATCCGATCTCACCAAGCCCGCTTACTGGGTAAGACTACAAAGCGCACACACATACTCACAATTATCAGCAGATCAGGTAAGACAAGCCCTTATTAGGAAGAAACGCACAAGGAACTGCAGCATGTGTAAAAGTGCAATCACACACAGACATATACAGTAAACACACATGCACACACACGTTTATACACACAAATACTGACCTGATACCACACTGGGGATCTTAGAGAGGAAGCTTTTGACGGTCCGGATGGCTACGCCTCCAGCTTTCTCATCTTGTATTCGTGTTACGATGTCTTCAATCTGTGGGGAGGCCAGAGGTGTCATATCATGTTTTCTATAACAAAACAACACCTTTTTCCTCAATAAAAAAAAGGAATGGCAGGGATGGGGAACATGCACTTTAATTGTCTAGTTTTCAGTAATAACAGGAGTAATTAAAAAGTAGAATTATGATTAACTTGCTGCAGTGTCTGGCCACTTGGGGGCAGCAGAACAATCTGTAAACACTGACATATCATCTATCACCTTACAAAGTTGTTATAGCAAACATGCCATAACAAGTAGTATTCAATTTGAGTCATGTTTATGGCCTCCTGAGAAATATAAGTCAAGTATACACTCTCCTTTTAGCTTAACTCTAGAGGCTAAATGTTCACCAGCTGGTTGCTAACACTGTCTATCTGTTGTTTGGCGGTGGCTGGGTTTATCAGAGCTTTTTCACTTAAAACAGTTGCCTGTTGTGTCTGTAAACAAGCGGATGCCAACGGTGAGCTTGATCCAAAGCAGTAGGCTTACCATTGCAGGTCGTAAAACCAAAATGCTGAGCTTAAAGACGTTAAAATGCTCCACAGAGCTAAGGGGAACTACAGTGAAAGGTAATGTTACACCTAAAAACACAAGCTCCATTAAACATTGACTGGTGCAGCTTTAAATTCAGATCTGGTTTAGTTTAAGTGTTATGTGTAAACTTTTTATTTATACATTAATTACTTTTGTTTGTAGAAAAATTAGACAAACTAATAGAAAATTCAATACATTGCTTTTTGCCCTTTCATTTAATCTGCATTGCCTTGGATACATCAGTAGGGAGCACCAACACCAGACATTTTTAAGACAGAGAGCAGCTTTGGAAAGAAATGTAAGACCCAGTGGACGCCAGATTAGTGATGCTGCAAAGTGACCTTAGGAAAGTACAATCCACATTTATGCTTGTCAAGATCAGGGGTGAAGCCAGACAGCTGAATTTACACATATTTGGGGTTTGATAGTGATTTAAAGTGACGCTCTATTCGATGTTTCACTCTACAAAGCTCAGACCTTAAAAACAGAATGGCCTTGGGTCAAAGCTTCGATAGAATTGAACACCCTACACATTGTCGTTTTTATATAGCTGCACGTTGGGGTGATTTAGCTGTAACAAGAGCTTCGGTCAGGAGCTTTGGCCAATTGTAAAAGGCTGTCACAGCTATTCCCCAGAGGCAGAGATAAACATCACACCTCCGACGCAGCCAGAGCCCCAAACACATCACACATCAGCCACCTAAAATTAGGCACGGAACAGCTCGCCACTCAACCACTACACAGGGGAGAACACATACAGTAAACAAGCGAACATCCAGTCACTCAAGGACATGGACACACACGTGTAAAAACTCACATGAAAATACAGAAATCCATATACAGTATATAGACTTGTAAACACTTGAACATAAAAAGGTACTCAGCTCGACTCAGGTCAAATATTGATGTGAACAGGCAGTGCTCTGTTGCCTGCTGGAGTCTCACTAGGAATCAATCTACATCAAAAAGATCCCGATTTTGCACACTTAGCTTTATTATCAGCAGCCAACCATATGCAGTACAGTAGCTGCTAAGGTCGTTGCGCTGGCTATTAAATTCTTTATGGCTGCCTAAGCATCTGTCTGGTAAGTGAGCACACTCAGATGCTCGCACACATACACACCCACATGCATATGCACACAGGCACACACGCTGCTACAGTAATGACAAAGCTGATTAGGTGAATTTGGAGGGTTCAACTCATGGACTTGACACACTCCGAATTCAAAGAAGCCTCTTCTGTTTCCTCTCATCCAAAGTAGGCTATAGCAAGTTCCCCCCTTTATCCCACCACGTTTACAGTTGACTCCAAGTCACGATCACAGACACACAACACCACGCTGTGCTGTAGTTCGTGCCATTCCAAGACACTTCTTTCCCTCTCCTCTCTTTCCTCCACTGTTCATTCATCATTTAGCACAGCATATCCGTGAGTGAACCCCTTCCACTGTGGCAGGAAGACAGACTCTAAAACACTGAATAGTGTAATAAGTGTATAAGTGTAATGTGTAAGCTTGTGACATTGTAAATGTTTATGAGTTTATGATTTGTTGTTTTTGAGGATTAATCTTAATCTGATAATCATCGGACAACGTGCATGAAGTTACATTTGGCAATACAAAATACTTTTACATGATAAGGCTGATGTTACAATAAACAATGCGTTACTTTAATGTAAAAACTTTCTATCTGTGGTACTCAACCAGAAACCCATAGAAGTAGATGTAAATGTAAAACATTAAATGTTGTATTTGTCAGAGACTATTTCCAGCTGGGGATTAATACATATTGGGTATATTGAATATTGTAGTAGGATGGTGTATGTGGAACTGACTTGAAAGATAAACTACAGAATCCATGTTCATGGGAATCACTCAGTGAAATGGTGTATTTTAATAGGTTTTAGACAACAATGGAGCTCTGTGGCACAGAGGAATAAGCTGCACAGGCAACACTTGTTAGTAGGATTCATTTATTGGTAGTTTTGGTTTTGTTCATGGGATTTGTTGACAATAAGAAGATACAGAATATCACTTTACATATCCTTTAACTAATTACATGCACACCTTCTGTATTGTCCATTTTGTTTTGTTTCAATGAGCCAGTGCTGGATTTGACCAATATATTGACAGTCAAATCAGGGGTCAGGTTTTAAAGGCCCATCTGCAAACCATGCCTCTAAGTGTGTGTGTGCATGTGTGTGTGTGTTCTCACCAGTTCTCTGTACCCTACACAGAAAGTAAATTTGCATTTGGCAAACATTATTCGTACATTATTATTGCGCTTTCAAATGTGCGTTTTACCCCAGCTGTGGGATTGTTATTCTTTTCATCTTTATGTTAACAGATGTAATATTTGTCCTCAGCTAATTACACGTTTGTTCTTTGATTCTGCATGATTGTGTATCTTTAAAGTGATAGTCCCACCAACAAAACTACAGTATCTTTTGGAGAAGGGGGGTAAAGAGAGAACAACAAGCAGAGTGCAGCATGCTATGGCACATTTACTCAGCCACTATTACAATCAAATGTTATCATTCTCCGTGGCAAAGCATTAAATGGATGATTCATAAAAGCGCCCCATGAATCTACAACAAAATACCCAGATGTATATGGATTTAATAACACACATTATGCAGAGCAGAGAGGTGAGAGGGAGCACTATGTGGCAAGACAATTACCAATCTCTCACCATAAGCTTGAGAGAGTGTCTTGGCATGAATTATTGAACATCCACTATGGAGAATTACTGCCTCAACTCTGTTGATAAATCTCTCACAGGAGGCCAGCGGAGAGAGAGATAGAAAGAGCTGCATCTGCCCTCTGTGTTGTGATCAGAGCCTTGGTATTTCAGGCCTGCCTTCGCCTACATGTGAGTATAAACAGTTTTACATGAGCACAATCAGGTGCACAACAGATTAGCACTGAAACATCACAATCTTTCCTTTGAGGACAAACCTTCCACGCAAAACAAAAGGGGAAAGCTTTGAAATCAGCTGCGTTCGATACAACTCTGAAGGACTACTCAAATCCCCTGGGACAAAACAACATGGAAAAGATTAAGTCCTTTTGTTCTCATGTAATAATGGACCTTGGACTATAGCGGCATAGAAAGAAGAACTCATTATCTCGCTATAGGATGACAGGAGACAAGAAGTGCTTGGAACAACTATAGAAAGTGCACATCATATCTCTTGGATGTACAAGCTAATGGTGTTTGCAGCTTGGTCTGAAGGGTTTTTGAGAGCTGAACATTGCTGCTAGCCTGCGATAACAGCACTTTGCCCCAAGCCACCAAGCTCTATAAATGATTATCAGGAGAACACTTGTGTATCTTGCCACTGTATGTTTGCATTTGCAGCACACGTGTGTTCAAAATTGTACCCATGCTTGACTGTGTATTTGCCTGAGTGTGGTTTGTCCATCTTATCTTTTATAGCTCTGTGGGCAGCATTAGCACCCTGTATGGCACATGTAGGAGGGTAAAGGTTTAGGGCAAGGGCATAGGTTTGCATATGGATGGCAGGGACATGTCCCTACCAATATTTTTGGAGGACAGAATTGTCCTTACCAATGTTTGACTGAACTCGTTCGCACAAGGTTTGGAGTGAAGTCATATCAGATCATTTCAATGTGCCCTCCAAGAGGCTATGTATCCAAGACAGATTTAGGCATGCTAGCATTTCATTGAATGAAAGGACGGGGGCTATCTGAAGGCTCACGTCATGTGAGAATATCACAGTGGTACCTAACGTCACCAGGAAAATGTCAACTTATGTTATTTAATCATGTTATCTAGCGTTAACCAGTAAGCTAACCCTGGCTTCTGTCTTCTCTAGGGTAGGTAGGTTGATAGCAGGAGTTAAAATCAAAAGATATGCACGTCAGGTTAATTGGCTTTACTATTACTTTGACTTACTATACTGTGACTTTGTTTATGACTTACTATGCCTTTTTATGCCTTAGTATACTATGACTTTTTTATGGCTTTTTATAACTTACTATATTTTGACTTTTTATGCCTTATTATACTATGATGTTTTTATGCCTTACTAGTCTATGACATTTCTATGACTTTTTATAACTTACTATATTTTGACTTTTTATGCCTTATTATACTATGTTTTTATGATTTTTTATGCCTTACTATAGTATGACTTTTTTTTTGGCTTACTATGACTTTTTATGCTTTGTTTTATATAAATATATATGTTATTGCGCGTATTCATGCCTTACTATCGTATGACTTTTTTTTACCTTAGTATACTATAACGTTTTTATGCCTAACTATAATATGACTCATGATATATATATGACATATATGTCCCCATACCAAGAGTGATGTTACCATGTGTCACCTATAACACGACATATATACTGTACACCCTCTGGATATATTAAGACATTAGTTAATAACATACATGAAATACTCACAGTAAAATGCAACTCTATTAAAACAAC